ACCCTAAACCCTAAACCCATTTTCACAGTTTCTTCAATTACCAGCAGCTTCCGGCTTCAACCGGAACAAGTTCAAGAGCGTCGCCGAGTATCCGGAAATGAAACTCCTACACCTTTCTGGTTTAGGGGTTTAGGTTTTTTTGGTTTAGGGTTTTGGGGTTGAGGGTTTTGGTGTTTAGGGTTTTGGGGTTTAGGGTTTTGGGGTTTAGGGTTTTGGGGTTACAAATTCCAATTGTGTGCCCCATGAACTGGAAGCTCTCAGAAGCCATGCTCTCTCTCCCTTCGCTTAGGGCTTTTTGATTTCGGTGGCTGGTTTGGGGTTGGGGCTCAGGAACGCTAAACCCCTGAACCCCTTTAGCTCTGAACCCGAAGCCCTAAACCCTAAACCCTAAATCCTAAACCCTAAATCCTAAACCCTAATCCTAAACCCTAAACCCTAAACCCAAAGATATCCGACGCGGACCAGGAAAAGGCAGCAGCTGCACTTGGAGAACTCCAGGAGGCCTGGGTTTAGACGCATGGGGCAGAGGCGTTCGGTGTGTTTTTGGTGTAGGGCTTAGGGTTATTTATGGTTTCGGGTGATTTATAGGGTTTAGGGTTTTACGTTTTCAGGTTCGTTCAAGGTTGAGTTTTCAGGGTTTAGGACTCATTTATTTTGGGCTCAAGGTTGTGCAGGAAAGGGTCGTTGTCCACACCGCAGGCCTTGTGCCGACAGTTTAGCCTGGAAGGTTCGCTAAACCATACGCTTGCTCTGCAAGGTCACAGAGGACACCCTGGATCCGACACTGGCCTCTTGGCTTTTTGTGGAGTTGTCGTCGAAAAGATAAGTTTCCATGTTTAGATGTGCATATAGGTATCTGTGTATGACAAGAAGTGATTATGTAATTCAAAGCCAATGCGAATCCATTCTAAACGGCAAACCCTCAACCCTAAACCCGGGAAGCAGCGCTCCAGGGGTACTTGTCAACGCGAGCTCCAAACTGCGACGGCTCCAGTCAGATTTTCCTCTCCGTGTTCGAATCCACGGGCCTTAAGCAGGCAAAAGACCTGGAACCCGTAGAGTGGTGACGTCAAAGCCATGGTGGCATCGTGGCTTGTCCTTGGGCTCGCTTTGCCAGCAGCAGCGCAGGTGAATCGATCTTCTCATTTTCTGAGCAAGCAAAGTGTGGATGTGAGCTCCAGTGGCGTACGCTGTGGTGGACTCGATTTGCCGGAAAATGCGGGGTGCAAGCAAGTCGTGGAGTGGGCCGCCGGTGGGGGCAAGTGGGACAGCTCAGCAGGGGGCTGGTACAAAGGCATGCCGACGATCACCGGCGTGAGCCACGAGCAGGGCAACTTGCAGGATTTCCAGCGGCTCTACTACTGCTCACCACCGGGGGACTCCTTCTGTGGGCTGCCGCCGTGCACAGGTTGCAGCAATCCACCTTGCAGCGACTGCTTCGCAGGCAACCAGCTCTACGCCAGCCATCGCCCTGGATGCGATGGGAATGACAAGGGTGTTGGATGCGTTCCCCCGAAGAGTGCCTTGGGCTACAAGGGTCAGCATTGGCCCACCACGGTTATCCATGGCACTCAAGATATGCACATCTTTGCCATCGGTGACTGGGGAGGTATGGACGGTTCGCTGGACCCACCAGAGGGCCGCAAGACCATCGTCGCTTACGACTGGGGACGCCGCCCTGGGCCCAGCGTCTTTCCCAGGAGTCGCTGGAACAAGAAGCACACTGTGCAGTTCCTGGGTCCCCCAGTAGTACCCTTTTGCCCTTTTTCTTTTTAGGTTCCCTTAATAAAACCAAGTAGTAGGAGAAAGGGTACCCTTATTATTTGGGGGCTACCTGGGAACCTAGGTTCTGCGACCACAAGCAGCTTGTGGAGTGCTTTAACACCCGGGGACAGGCGCCATGCGCACCAGAGTGTGGCTACGTGGCAGGCGTAGACGACCAGCCGCAGCTGCTGGTGGCCAACGCCTTTAAAGCCCGTGCTGCCCTCGTTGACCCCCAATATATCCTCAATGTTGGGGATAACTTCTACTGGGGCGGTATCGAGAAGACATGTGGCAGTCCGATGGATCAGATCTCGTATCCGACGAAGCACCAGTTCGATCAGATCTTCGAAGGCGTGTATCAAGGGGCGGGCCTCACCAACAAGCCCTGGTTCAGTGTTTTGGGCAACCATGACTGGGGAGGCTTCAAGTTCGACAACGGCTGGGATCAGCAGATCTCCTACACCTGGGCTAGCAACCGATGGGTCATGCCCGCTCCCTACTACAAGACATCCGTTGTCTACGCGGACCAGGACTTCGATGTGGATTACTTCTTCCTTGACTCCAACTTCATCGACGCCATGCCGCCTGAGGAGGACCCCAACCACAACATGTGCAGCCGAAAGAACAATAAGCCCTCTGCCTCGTGTGCTGCGGCGGACGGCCCCGAATCAGTGGACGCCTGCCCCGGCTGGTTCGCTTCGCTTTGGGCGGAGCAGAAGCCATGGGTCACGCAGCTCATGGGACAGAGTAAGGCCAACTGGCAGATTGTGGTTACCCACTTCCCCTGCGGACATGAGCAGGACTTCTACAAGTCCTTGCGTGATTTGGGGATGGACCTGCTTGTTACGGGACACCGGCATGATCAGGAGCTGTGGCTCCCGGATGACTATGCCAAGAATCACATGGGCGTAACATGTATCGTGACCGGCGGCGGTGGTGGCATCACGTCCGAGGCCACACCAAATCCGGAAGAGACGGAGGATTGGTACGGCGAGGGGCAGTATGGCTTCTATGACCTCACCATCAGCAAGTCGGAGATTTTGATCGAATCCATTAATTATGATGGCGATGTGCTGTTGACACACACCGTGCACCCATCGCGCTGATGTACAGTCTTGTGCAAGTTTTTGCTCCAATGGGAGTGGGGACCCGCCGTGGACGCAGAAGCCTTCACTTGGCGAGCTCCCTTCCTCTTTTGGTCCGCGCACGGCGGACGTTCATACTTTGTTTAGCCAGGTGAGGAGGACAGGCGTGCTGTTTCTTCCTACCTGTAGGGCGTCGATTTGCAACATCCTGTCGGCCGTTGTTTTGAGCAAATGAGTGTGATTTCCTCCAGTGTGATGGTGGTGTGTGAGGTTTGTTGGGTATCACAAGATGGTTTCATGGAGGCATTCGCATGAGTAGCATCATGAGCCATAACCGATAGCCATCCAGTGATATTCCCAACTAGTGATCTGCATATCGTTACAGCTAGTGTTTAAGAAAGCGTCCGGCAAAACTCCAGGACAAGATGGTTCCAATCTTTGGTCGGGTTCTGTTTACTTCAGGATCTATCTTCAAATACTATAGAAGTCTCCGTGGGGTTCCCGTTATAGTATGATAGACCCCCCCCCAAAGCCTCATTCTAATTATTCAGGCCCTTACATTAATAAGGTCTCCGCATTTCGGGGAATAGCGCTTAATGCTAGTACTGATATAAATTATATATATATATATAATATGTATACGTAATATAAGTAATACAGATAATATACAGGCTATAGATACTCTACATAAGCTGATACAAGAATTAAGCCGGCCCGAAGCCTGCAAGCGAACTGCCGGACTCTGTCGAGTCGCTAGTGGCACATAGAGTTCGTTGGTTTAGGGTTTAGGGTTGGTTATTGATGTTTAGGGTTTAGGCTCAAGACGGGGTAAGGGTTGCATGGGCACTGGCCGGCAGCTCAGTCCGTGCTTAAAAAAGGGTTGTTAGTGTTTAATTAGGGGGTTTAGGGTTCAGGGTTGAGGGGTTTAGGGTTATTAGTGCTTACTGTAGGGGGTTCAGGGTTTAGGGGGTTTAGGGCTTAGGGTTATTAGCTGTGCTACCGCCAAACTCAGGGCTACAATCCCTCACGCCTAAACCTTCAGTGAAGCCTTCCCATACATAGATCGATGAAACATAGAATCCTTGTAGAGCCCTTCAAGAAATCGATCATGAGCTTTTAGTGATAAAAGCCAAACGGCTCTCAGGACAAGATGTCGACCCAGCTCGAGGATGCCAAAGCCACGGCTGCTGACTTCGCAGGGAAGTTCGACGAGACATTCAGCGACTTCGTGTCTTCCTTCACGAAGGCCACGTTCAGATTTCTGTTGTTTTTAATATTGTTGTTGTTATTGTCACTGTTATTTATGCATGTTTTAGTTAATTTGTATTTAACTTAATTTATTATTTAATGATTTTTGTATTCATTTCATTTATCTTTTCACTTGGTTCATTTTACTTTTGGTTTTGTAATTAATGTCTACTTATTTAACTCTGTATCGTTCTTACTAGTTATTGTTATTGTCAGTTCCTGCAAACTAGTACCATGAAAGCATTGTCTTTTATTACGATTGTGAGTAGTTCTTGCGGAGTTTAGTCATAGGATTTTACTTGGAGGTTCACGGGTGGTTATAAGCAAGGCTATTGGGGCTATAAGTCCCCTAATACGGGCTGTTACTTTTTTTGGCTACCCTACTTATAACTCCATCTTGAACTGCCCCTAAACCTGCAAGGAGAACGGGTTCTATGAGGTTTCAACGCCTTCGGTGCTTGAGCGAGGGTCGCTTACGGCTGATGGGTAGAGTCTGGGTTCAAAAAAGGGTTCAAATGAGAGTTCTGTTACAGGGGTTCTAGGGTTCTTTAGAGGTGCGGCTCCGGGGCTTTATGATGTAGGCCTTCGGGGTTCATAGAACTGGATCTATACTGTAAACCCTAAACCTGAACCCCTTAGCCTAAAACTCAAACCTAAACCCTGAACCCTCAAGAGCATTAATTTCAATTCCCAAAACTTTAAACCCTAAATCCAAAACCAGAACTCAGTCCTCAGTGACGCCTACTGTGAGTCCTCTCGTTGCAACGGTTGACCAGTATTGCTAGAGACCTTGCCAGGCTTTGTCCGAGTGTGAGTGCCAAAAAACCCAAAACCACCACAACAAAAAGCGAACCTAGAAACCCAAACCTGAGTCGGCGGTGTTATGTGATGCGGTTGATGGTATAAATCTTTGCATTACCTTAAGGACCCCAACCTATGGGAATTATGGTATATTCCTCATTATGTGTAATGCAGGGCTTATATCATCAACCGTATGTGGGGCTTTGTTGGAAGATTTGGGGGAGGCATCGCTGCAAAGGAAACCAAGGTGCCAGAACCGCAACCCCAAACCCTTCTTGGAGGTTCTTGGGTAGTTATAAGTGGGGCTATGAGCCCCTTACTATGGCTTATAATTATAGTTACCTTACTTATAACCCCACTCAGAACTACAGATGAAACCCCCAAGTAGAGCCTAGGCCAGCGACCTGGCCCGGCTGGTTACAGTAGTGAGGGCTGAAACATATTTCACACATCCCAAAGCCATGTACCCTAAACACCTGTAACCCTGATAGCATCATGTTTCGCGAAACTCCAGAGGAGCCTCAAAAAACAGTGTATCTACTGAATGAAGCCATAAGTCCTTAACCCTTAACCCTTAAACGCCGGAACCCTTCACCCCCAGAGCCAGAGGCCGTGACAGGCAAGCTCCCTGCCGGCCAGCAGGCCATGTTGTGGGGGTTCCCTTACGGATTGCTTGTCGGGTGTGGGGTCTAGATGTTCGTGTTCATTCTAAGGATTCTATAGGGGCTTAGAGTTAGGGTTGAGGGTGTGGTGTTTCACGGATTCAAGGCTTCCGGGCCTTGAGGGCGCACGCCAGATTTGTTCAATTCGGGAAGTTTCTTCAATGACGCCATGAAGTTGATGCAGTCTCCAGTCTTGCCTCAGGGTGAGGACTAGGGCAACGGGGTATCCGTTCTGCTCAGAGTAGAAAGCCCTGTTGGCGAGACTTGGGGAAGCCTTCCACGGTTTACCCAAGAACCCTCAAGACATATGGGGGTTTCCGAAAACAAGGGGTACCTTAGTTTGGGGTCCTTATAATAGGGATCCTATTATTTTGGGTGCTATATTAGGGTCCCCCATTTTCGGAAACCCCCATATAGTATAGCATAGTTCCCCTTTGTAGTTGCCCTCAGGGTTTGGGGATGCGGGTTTGTTGGTTTAGGGTGTACTGTACTCTAAACCCTAAACTCTAAACCCTAAACTCTAAACCCTAAACCCTAAACCCTAAACCCTAAACACTACACTTAAAGTTTAGGGTTGGGGTTCAGGGTTTCGGGTCGGTTGACAGTTCAGACGTGGGTGTTGCAGTCCTCGCTGTGGGGCTTCAAGGCTCTTAACTTCTGGCAACTTAGGGTTTGGGGTTTAGGGCTCAGGGATTAGGGTTCAGGGCTCAGGGTTTAGGCTTTAGGGCTTAGCATCTCCAGCGACGGGATACTTTTTTTAGGCTCGGGCCGGTTGGGTTTGGCCCATCATATCGTCCTCCGGAAGGAAACCCTGGGCGCCAAGATCGAGACTTCGGCCAAGTCCATGACAGACAAGGCGCGCGGTGGCCTTCCGTCGCTATATAAGGACTTCAGGAGGGACCCTAATAGGGACCCTTAATCCCATTACCTTAAATAACCCTTGTATAGTCCTTATAGTCTCCATATTAACCCCAACAACCTACAAGGGTCCCTATTAAGGGTCCCTCCTAAAGCCCGTAGACTCTAGACTTGGAGGTTTGGAGCTTGCAGTCGGGAGTTAGGGTTTAGGGTTTAGAGTTCAGGTCCAGTCTCTTGGGTCTGAGGTTCAGGCTTAGGCTTTAGGGTTGAGGGCGTAGGGCTCAGGGTGAGAGGCAATGCTGGCAGTCATCAAGTCCGGTTTCAATAAGGCTACTATAGAAGCCTGAATAATGATCAATACTGTTTTGGAGCTTCCTTATATAACTATAGTATTAAAAACCCGAAACCTTATTCCAAGTATTAAAGCGTCTACATTTAAGTAGGCATACGGCATACATGCGCTTACCTTTCTCCCAACCCTACGTCTGAGTGCCCGTGAGCCTGCTAAATGCACAGGTGCACCTCCTCAGCGTACATCTCCAGAGCATGGTGGCAGCTTGCAGAGATTACTTGGAGCTTCATGGAAATTTGTTCGGATAGGTATAACTGGGGTTAGCAGTTCCTAGTATGGGTTATGACTATAGCTGCCGCACTTATAACCCCCACTTATAACCACCCATGAACCTCCAAGTAACACCAAACCCTAAAACCACCCAAACCCCGAACCCTAAACTCTAGAACCCCCAAACCCCCCAAACCCTAAACCCGAAACCACTCCAAGTATTCCTACACTCTGAACTCCGAGCCCGTTTATTTTGGAAGCTGAGTCTCACATGCTATTGGTTGGGGTTTCTGGTTTCAGGGTTTAGGGTTTAGAGTTTAGAGGAGGGTAAAAGGTTAGGGTATGGGTTTAGGGTTTAGGGTAATTAATCTTCATGTCAGGGTTGTTTACGATAGACGAGGCAAGTTACAACCCGTGACTTCTGCCCCGAGGATCGAATGCATGCGATATTCATATACTTTCTCGGGTACTAACCTGCAGATGCTAGGCCGTCCACAGCCATGGGCCCTAGAAGCCCTGAACACCCCAAGATCAGATGCAAGTGTCTGAGGGTTTAGGGTTTAGGGTTTAGGGTTTAGGGTTTAGGGATTAGGGTTTAGGGTTTAGGGTTTAGGGTTTAGGGTTTAGGGTTTAGGGATTATGGCACCCATAGGATCCAAGACTCCAAGAATCAAGGAGTGTCCTTCAAACCCGAGCAAGTTAACCAGAATGTTCAGGGGTACTTAATGTCGAAGCTTGAAACGCTAGCAAGATTACTCCTTAAGGTTCCTTGTTGTCCTTCTACTATAAAATACATGCGAGCCACTTTAGGCCCCTCTATGAAACCCCGATAATTCATGCCCCTTAGGGGAGCCCTTATAGACTCCGCTTAATAGCCCTTCCCTAAACCC